ACGCTGGGAGCTAAATATGACATTACACAAATCATATACGTATCATTTTTATTTGGTGATGATGAAAAGCAAAAATCATGTAAAATATTGCCACTATAAAAATTACGATGCAATGAGCAATTTTGGCCGCTCTACGTGTAGAAAGAATATTTTAGCCTAGGAAATATACCACTTTGCATAGTGATATTGTTCTTTAAAGTTTCAATAACAACAGGAAATTTCTTGAATATAATCTTTTTTCAAAACATAATTTTCATGTTATGGTCCTTTTTCATTTATTATCCAGATTCAATACGAGAAAATGCATTATGTATTCATTCCGCATCTGTATCAATCCTCTACTTAATTTTTATAGGGGAATAGATTTGTTGAAATGAGGTTGACTGAATTTGCCTTATTCTAATTAAAATAAAAAATTAATTTAAAAATCTGGTTGATTCAAATCAAGTCATGAAATCAAATCAAAAATCAAATCTGAATTCTGCTCGCTTGGGGCCTTGATCGGAAATAATCGTATCTTCTAACTTTAACTTCATCATTGAAGTTATTAGTCAATTCATCCCGAAAACAAAGCTTTTGTTTCCAGACAAATGCTAATAAGATGCAATATTCCCCAATATACAGGGCTATAAAACGGACTCTAGAGGATTTCCTTTTTTGAAAACTGTAGGTTAATGTGTTTTGACAAAATAAAAAAGATTTCCATCCAAATATTTATTTATATTGAACAAAAAATGGGTTTTATGAATAATTGTTATGCATTGAATAAATCAATAGGAATATAACAAAGTTAAAGATTATGAAATAGGTCCAGTGGTAATGACATTAAGAAAATGGTATATAAACAGGACTACGATCGCCTTTATTTTCTACATTATATACAGTATATATAAACTGAGAACTTTCAATGACTTTATTAGTGGATTATTCGCTATGAAACAATGAAATGATCAATGATTATTGGCATATATATTTTTTTTTCTTTGTTTGTATTGAAAAAAATTATTGGGAATGTAGGGATTATTGCCTTCGCAGCAAGTTTTTTGATTCATAGACAGACAATATTTATTGAATTAGCAGTTTATATAGTTTAAGCAAAATAAATCTTTGTAATCAATCTATTATTTATTAAGAATAAATACGTATTGGAATAGATGATTGCTCGATCCACATCTTGTTCTTTATCTTCATGATACACTCGCTGACCATTTTTACAGAAAAAGTTATTCAAACGAATGAAGCAGCAAAATTATGTGGATGTGTATCATTCAAATATTCTTTCATATCAGACTCTGTACATAAATCTTTCATCTCCCATTTTGACTTCCTTCAAATTCCATGATTAAGATCATCGATGTTGGCCATATCTTCTTGATTTTAGATAATGATGATTCCAGCAAGATTTTGTTTCAATGTCATTTGAAACTATTGGATAATCGAATACAGTTGCGGAAGATTCAAAATCTATCTCATCAATTCCTCGACTACGTGCAAATTTTTTGTCCGTCAATCTAGCAGCAGTATGTGGAGTTTTGAACAACGGACTCTGGTGCAAATAACTAGCGTAGAATGAATGGCATTACCATGATTTTTACCGATCGATCCATAAAAATTTTGTTGTTTAGAAAATGTGATGGTACCAATTCTGTGACCCTAGATTCTTTAGAATCCCCTGAACAGTTTCGGAAGAGAACCACTCTAAATCCAAACCCAAATTAAGAGTCACAGCGCATTGAATGAATGGCACATATGTAGATATATAGAACTTGCAATTAATTGTAATGCAGACTGCGCCCATTTGTTGGGAGCACCCTTCTTAAAACAATTGCTATTACAGCATTATTCACCCCAATTTTCTTTATGAGCATATCGGTCTGTCAATGTCTTTCTATAATCGTTAGCACATATAAAATATAATTCACGATTCATCTAATCCTAAACATAACCATCTTCTGAAATTAAATTGAATTGGATTGAATTCTATTTCTTTCCAATTTTATCATCTTTCATAATGCGTTTTTATCCAGAAATTTGTTTTTTTATTTTCATCTTTAACTTCCGCAATTTCTTTTACAACTACATTCCAATGTATTTATTACTTTTGCCTCTTTTTTTAAAAAAATAAATCAGTAATTATTAAGAATTTATAGATTGGAATATAATGCATGTTTTTAATAGATGTACTTATAGCAGACAAAGAATTCGAAACAACAAATAATAAAGTAAATATCAATCAAGTATTTATCGGAACTGGATAAAAATAAAAGCTTCTTACCAGACGTCACTTCTTGAGCTAGTAATTAGATAATAAGGAATGATATAGGAAGAATGCATAATAATAAATAACAAATTAATTCCCTTTGCCTTCTAAAAATCCATATGATTGATAGGTATTACAATAAGCCTAACTAGCCTATCTTGTTTAATAGAAAGTAAAATCAGAATGGATGTCAAGTTTACACAACAGGGATAAAAAGAAAAGAAAATTATGAAAGAAGTGCAGGAAAAGGGGCAGGCTGACAATTTATATATATGCTTATCTTGCATTCTTAAAAGACGCTGCGGATAGATGGCGGTTGGCAACAGCAAAAAACGAGTTAGTCGACATCATGCCTAAAATAGCTATAATATATTCTCTGACCAACTATCCTCCTAATAATCTTAATGCTATAGTCAGCCCTGGATGTGCGTCCACATTTTCACCATGTTTGCATATGGTAATATAGAAATTTGTTAATTAGATCAATTGAACACTGACACCCAACGTACATACATACGGCCACCTATAAAGCAATTTTTTATGTATTTATGTCTATCGAGTTTAGTTTTGGTAACAAATCTTTTTTTTTCACATCCAAATACATTAACCACGTTCATGATTTTTATACTGATATGATATTTTGTATGGGCCTGTAAACTATAAAATGTTTTGGTAGAATCATTCATTTCAAAATGAGTGCATTTTCGTAAACTAGAATATTTTTATTTTAAACCTTCTGTTTCAAGAAGAACTTTTGCATGTACTGGGTAACCAGGAATACTGATATGATGATCCGAGAGAAGAAAGAGAGAAAATAAATAAAACCTTGTTGGAAAAATGTATTTTAAATAGTTAAATTAATTATATTTATTTATATATATATTTTTTTTTAATGAGGACCACCACGACCACGACCATAGCTTCTGATAAATTCTGGTTGGAAATCACTAGATGCACCCTCCTTCTTTCCACCATCATCATCATCACCACGACGACGATAATCACGATCACCACCACGACTTTGTGGTGGACGATATGCTCCATCTCTATCACCTCCTTCAGTTTCTATAAAATGTTTTAGGGTTTATGTGAATAAGTAAATGTGAATATATATGTATGTATGTGCATATAACATAATATATGCACCATACAACCTCAAATCACTAAATAATACCTCGAGTTCTATTAGCTTGTCTAGTTTGTTTTTTGAAAGTAGTAGGAACAATTTCCGAAGGCAAGTGTAAATATTCTCTTAAAAATTCGATGCCTTCATCAGTCAATGAATAATAATAATATTGCCATGAGAATTGTGTTTTCACATATCCTTTCGAATTAAGACTTTGACATGCTTTTATAACTTGTAGATTTGGTACATCTATATCTTGATGTTTGGGTGCATTGAAGTCCTTTTTTGCTACCAAGACTCCCTCTGAGTAAAATTTTGATGATTAGGTTTTTGATTGGAAAGAGAACAATTGATTAATTTTGAATTGGTTGATTGTTTGATAAATTAGTTTGTTTACCTTTAAAAAGACTTTCGTAGATAAGTTTACGATTTTGCTTTGGAATGAGCATCTTTTTCTTTTCAAATGACTTTCAATACTTTGATTAAAAAAATGGACGATAAAAAAATTTTATTTTATTTAATTGACCAATCGAATTTTTTGTTCTACAACAATAAATCTTAAAAAAAAAAATTATTTTTGATTATCTACAAAAAATACGATATTTTAAAACCTCACCGATATTGAAATGGGAACAGTCGTAAATGCAGGCTCATGGACTTCCTTGGAACCTAAATTGAGTCCTTTTATGTATATATACGCAGATATATATGTATATTATTGATATTTAAAAATTTTCAACAAATTATTTGAATTTATTTTATTACAAACATAATATTAATTGATTCAGTTTTATCTTCCGATATGTTAGTTTAGAAACATTGGCCACAATCGGCTTTTTAGAAATGACTCCTGTACAAGCTAGCACAATTCCATTATTTATGAAGAGTAAAGATGTAGTTGTTGAGGTAATCAGAAATTTAGAATCTTTCATAGCTATCTGGTGTATCAAAGGGTTAAAATATGATTTTATTGTACATATTTATGGTTTATTTGTATATATTTATTTATATACTTAAATAGGCTGTTACAGGTTCTGGTAAAACTTTAGCTTTTGTTATACCTATCATTGAAAAATTGGTTAATAGAAAGCATCGATTAAGAAAAAACGAAATTGGTGCTCTGGTCATTACACCTACGAGGTAATATAAATATTTATATATTATTTATATTATGTTGATTTCGCTCTAAAATTCTATTTTTTTTTATAGAGAATTGGCACAACAAATTTCGTCAGTTTTCTCAATATTTCTTAATTCATCATCATCACCATCATTGGATAATCAATTGCCAAAACACCTACTAGCAATCGGTGGCAGTACAACAAATATCAGCGAAGATATTGAAAAATTTAAAGAAATAGGTCCAGATATACTCATAGGTACACCTGGACGTTTACATGATTTAATAGTTGGTAGAAATACTGGTAGTAGAAACAACAACACCAGCAATAGTATAAGCATAGTTAATACTAAAGAACTTGAAATATTGGTGTTGGACGAAGCTGATCGATTGTTGGATATGGGATTTTCGGAAAATATTAATACGATAATGTTACACCTGCCAAGACAAAGAAGAACTGGGTTGTTCTCGGCTACGATGACTGATGGTTTAAGTGAAATTGTACGGGCTGGATTAAGGAATCCAGTCAGGGTTGTAGTTAAAGTTGAAGACGTTGTAACAAAAAATGAACAGAGAACGCCTGCTACGTACGTGTGTATATCTAATAAATGAAGGAGATTATTGTTGTTGTATGTTGTAAATATATATATATATATATATATACTTTTTCTCACATCAAAAAAATAATAGATTACAAATTGGATATATTTTGTGTGAACCACATCAAAAATTATCACAATTAATAAGATTGATGAAAAGTGAAAAAGTCGCAAAAAAATACATAATATATTTTTCTACATGTGCATGCGTTGATTATTTTTACAAAGTAAGGAAAAATCATTTATACTATTAATATGCATTTTTTAAATATTAGATTATTCACTGCAATGATTGTTGATGTATCATTGTTTAGATATTTGTAAAATTACCACAATTTAGTGGAGTGTCAATTCATTCACTTCATGGAAAAATGGATACTAAAAGAAGAACAGGTGTGCACAAATTTATTTATTGTTGTAATATTACAATAATAAATATAATTTTCCATATTCTACCACTACTATTAAAGCTTGCTAACAACAATAATATTAATAATAAAGCCACATACAAATCATTTGTTAATTTACCAACAACATCAACCGCAATTCTACTATGTACCGATGTTGCAGCAAGAGGATTAGACGTGCCTGATGTAGACTATGTTATACAGGTAGATCCACCACAAGACCCCAAAGTATTCTCACATCGTTGTGGAAGAACTGCAAGAGCTGGTAAGGAAGGGAAAGCGATGGTATTCTTGGGAATTGGACGTGAAGAAGTTTATATAGGTGGGAGTTGTAACTCAACAGTTTTTGTAATAAACCAAAAAATTTATTATTTGATTATAATTTAATGTTTATTTTTATTTTTTAGATTTTTTAAAAATTCGTAAAATTCCGATATTTAAGCATTCATATATTTTATCGAATGGAAAAAATCTCACTACTGTTGAAAGAGGTAGTGATGATGATGATGATGATGATGACGATGATGACAGAATAAAAGAGATACCGAAAATTGATAAAGAAAATGATGAATTATTAGAGCAAATTCGTAAAATAGTTTTAACGGATAGAGATTTACATGATTTCGGGAATCGCCATTCTATCCTTGAGCTGCGTGTGTATTGCTTTACACATGTATAATCTAACAATCATTG